ATACCGGTGCGATATATACACTGCGGCAGAGAAGTGGTATTGGCTGACGAGAAATATCGATTTGGTTTTAGCAAATCCTATGTCATAAGTATGAGTACTTTCTTTTGGATACGAAATACAGTACTGTTTAGTATTGTGTTTTAATTTCTGTACACATATTTCTCTCAATATAATGTATTTTTTAGTTGACTATTATTTTGACAACTTTTCTACACAACAGTCGTGTGAATGCAGAAAATAATTAGAGTTTTATGTGTAATGTTCTTATCGCTAGACTCGGAGACAATTTCATTCAAATAGAGGTGGAAAAAGATTTTTTTGTTGCTTTTTTTGTAAGCACTTAAATGCATTGACAATACATAGAGAAAAAGTTATGAAAAAATAAAACACAAAGTTTTTTGTGTGCATCGCTTTTATGGGCGATTATATATAATATAGATCACCTAAAAGTTATTTAATGTTAAGTACTTTATTTAATTTAAAGTTTCGATTAATATATCGAGAGCCATTTATCATACTGGCAAAAAAAGTTTCTAATAATAAATTTTATTGCAAATTGCGAGTACAGTAACAAAAATTCAATAACATTTTATTTAAGTAAGAATATTGTTAACTCTTAAACTATATTACGTGCAAAAAATTAAGTTATGTCATGTATCCAAGGCTAACTCACGAGTACAGAAGTACATGTATTATCAATAAATATTAAATTTACAGAACTTGGCATAATAAGAGGATTCTGGTGAAATGAAAAGCAAAATATTAACATAAATTATTTGCGTTTGAATTATTATGGAAATATGAATCGCAAGCTTTTTTATGGGTTTAAACTTACTTAACATGTTATTGGGGACAGGGAGTGAGATAGTGGGGAGGGGTTCCCGGAATTGCCGTCAATCGCAAGATTCTGTAACAGAATTTGAGCCATACTTTCGCCACAGACGTCAGAATATTAGACATCGAGTTAAGGCAATCACTGAAATCACAATAACTATGTGTTATATAATTGGATAGTCGCTAGGATTGGACGGCTATTAATAACTATCCGATAACTGCACTAAACATACCGGTGTGGCACTTATAAATTCACAATATTAGCCAATTTTCAGTATTGTATCGAGAATTGGTTATAGCTTGTGTACTGGTGACACATAAATGCATGCATATTTACACTTCTCATGAATATTAAATTCAAGTGAATTAAATATTTATCATAAAAAACACCACTTAATACCCGTACCCGTACTCACCGTAGTATTAGCTGTTAGATTATTGCTGAAAGTTTCAAAATTCACTTAACAACCTATTATTAACAGGAATATTCTGTTAAATATTGTTTACAGAAATAAATTATAAAATTTCGGTATACGTACAGCACTTAGCATTTTGTTATAATTTATAACCGTATGATTAATCGCGATAAAAGTAAATAAATTTTGAAACACAGTGTATATTATATATAATAATTTATTTTTATACTCTTTTGTTTTATTTACATTATCATATAATAACTATAGTATATTACTATTCATATATATATTGTATAAATTATTTGTTATGATTAAATGTCGATAACAGAGAATCATAATAATGCATAACGACTTGAAAACTTCAATGCAATTTCAATCGCGAGTATAAATAGTGGACAAAAAGCAACATAACATTCATTGGTTTCTAAGAGTTAAACAGTAATTAAATACAATTATAATTGCAATCATAGTTTAGGAATCAAATGTGTATTTCAGTTAATAGTGAAATGTAATGTAATGTATGAATAAATTTTTATTTTAAGATTATGTCTTAAATATACATAAAAACTTTGTAATTTAATTAAATTAATTATATTATACTTTTGTGTTGCAGCAAACCTTTGGTTTAAATAAAAGTAAAGTTAGAAATTTTTAAAACATATTACATGTTATTACTCTATACGCGTACAATAATTATATTAATATTAATAACAAATCTGATTTCAATTCAATGTCTCTAACTTTGAAGTTCACAAATGGGAAACAAAAAACTTCAATAAAACACTGAATAATAATAAAACGAAATAATAAATAAATTAAATAATAAACTGAGAGACAGCGACGCAAACGTGTAAATCAAATGTTAATCAAAGTCATGTCTGAAAATGAATGCAATGAATGAATGCATACATGACACGGGAGTTGCAAAAAACACGAGTTTAAGTCACATTTATGTCAAGCTTATCATCATTTTGAACGTCCGATTCATTCACAACACTCTCAGCGCTCGGCTTTTGGTCTGAATCCGTGTCCACCGGGTTCTCCACTTTCACGGTCACCTCAACGGCCTCTGTCTCTCCCTCTCTATCATCCCTTTCCGTGGCATCCGCGGCCTCATTGGCGGCCACATCGACGACAATCTTCACCTTCTTCTTAGTGGGGGTCGACGTCTCGTCGAATATCTTTCGCTTCACTTTCTCCATCTTTTCGGCCTTTTCTTTGGTCTCTTTGCTGTCTTTATGGCTGTCTTTCCCCTCTTTGCCGTCCTTCCCATCCTTACACTTATCCTTATCCGAGTCATACATCTTATAACTTCGTTTGCAATCCTTTTTCGACTCTCCATTCCTGTAGTACTGCTTAAGCCTTACGTGCCATGCGATCGACGAAACGGCTGTATATTACACACAAAAACCAAACATCCAATCAATTATTAAATTTAATTACGATTTCAATTCAATATAAAATACCATTAAATAACTAAAATTAGAAAATATATTCGTTTGCATTGACTCTACCCTTTCAAGCCCTTAGCTTTCGGTGACAAGAAATATAGGTTTCAATAAATATTTAATTATTTACGAGAGATATGTCTCACATCGAGAGATAATTGCCTATACTATCGATCACTTAATTACAGCATTGCGCTAAACATTAGTTATAAATGACTGAAAATATTAATTATTAACTGAAACCTTTCACTGAAAGTATACTCAACAAGAAATGCGAGAATTGAATACAATTATAACAAATCCTATTATTACTCCTCAATGGACTGGTATTAAGAAATTAATATATTAAAAGATTTGGGAGTATATTCATAAACATTTACACTTTAACCAGAATTAAATCATAAAAAATAACACTTATGGGACTTCAAAACACCACAAACAACTCATTAATTAGCATAAAAATAAACTTAAAAACAATGTTTATAACTATTAAACTAAAAACATTTAAAACTACAAAACAAACCCTAGAAATCATCGCTAACTTTTCAAAACCATACAAAAAATCTAAAAATAGTCTCAAATTAAGCGCAAACGCATACCGGAAACGGTGCGGAACTGGTGTATGATATTCCGCGGCAAGAAGTAGATGTCGTTGTCATGCAGCTGTATGCGGGCATACCGTACCCCCTCGCGCCTGAGCTGGTTGAGCTTAGCATCCTCTACCCACGTGATACACTGGCTCACAGGGGGCTCGTGGAGGTCTAACTGCAACTTCTGTGTCAACTGATCAAAGTCTGCCGCGTGAAAGGCCACCACGTCTTTGGTCACCCGATTGTGAGACCAACTGTCCCCGCAGTTCACCCCCTTTAGCACACCCACAGCTGCCGTCGTCTGCCTATCAAAGCCCTGTCCCACGTGGTCCGCGTGACACCGGGTCCTACACCACACAAACCATTAGTACTCATCAATCATTTACATATCGCAGTCAGTGTATGACATACCTGTCCTCAAACATCATCTCTCGGGGTTCGCTAATACGCCTCAACTGTAGGCCCCGGAGTTCGCTCTGTTGCCGCTTATTACCACTTTTGGGTGTCTTGGAGCCCAACTCGGCCGTCGGGATCAGCTGCTCGCCCGGTCTTATCCACAGAATGGGGCCATCATTGGACTCCTGAGGTGTGGCCATACGCACGGCCGACATGTGGCCCCACGGCATCACGTGCTTGAGGAACGGCGACTCCTCCAGCAGTGATATCATCTTCGGGAAGTATCCGCCGACTTCTTCGTGAACGGTTCCCACCAGTGATATCTGGTGTAACGGGCCGTACCTGAACGTGCCGTTGCTGTAGTTCCTGTGCACCTATTTATACCGCAAAAATAAAAGCAACAAATAATTAAACCATTTATTAATCAATTTATAACAAAAATAATTAATAGAAAAATTTAATACCAAAAATAAATAACTATTTTAAAGCATAAAATAAAATTTAATTCAAAAACCAATTAATTGATTGCAAACGAGTGCATAGTGTTTGCATTTCGTTGTAAATTAATTTCATTGAAAGCGCCATAAAAATGACAAATAAATGACAAACAAATTAATTCATATAAAAAACTAATATTAATATTTCATAACTTTATTACCGAATAGGAGTGGCAATAGAGTAAAGTAAATAATAAAATCGTTTTAATAAAAACATAATTATAAGTACACTATAAATAGACACCTTTAAATGTTAATACATAACAATAAATGCGAGAATAATTTGGCAAATATTGTAAAACAGGTTTACATATCGCATGAGACATCCTATGTTATACAGTAGTAAACGGATCGATGGCTTCAAAGAATAAACACTTTCTATTGATATGAATGTTATGTTTAGATAAACAGCGATAAAAATGCTTTCAAATCAACGCTACTGTAGACAACGAAAGCTTTAAACAAAAATCAAATGTAATAAAAAACTCAACTATAGATTAAAACTTTAGAAATTTCAAGCTATAAATGCCCACAAAAAACAAACAAAAAAAATACTCAAGAATTTACGGAAAAATGTAAAACATTTTCGTATAACAAATATTATGCAAACAATTTGTAAGAAAGCCAAATATTTTACGAGAAAATAATAATAAGAAAAGTGTAGTAAAAAAGATTAATACGACGATAAATACATGTTAAAAGCAAAACATCGGACCCAATGGCACACTAACACTGGTAATAAATGTCTCGTTTACTTGATGAACATTTTTTG